GTTTCAGTTGTTTTCAAAGAGATGTATTTTCTTATTTTAGCAATGTTTCTGAGATGATAAAAAGAAGACTTGCAAATATTATTCACATGACGAACCAAAGTAAGATGCGTATCAAATATGACACCAATGTTCCGAGCATGCATTGAGGGCATTATCACATCAGAACCAAATTTTTCAATTTTTCTCTATTAATAAAACGTGATATCTTTACATGTGAACATAGCACCAATAGTAAGAATTCTTAGAAATCGACTTGTAGTAAAAATGAACTAAATTATCAAACAGAACAGGTTAGTCAAATATAGGTGCGATAGTGTTTAAAGTAAGTATCAAAATGTGTATTTTTAACTCGACGATTTCAACAAATAAAGTTGTTTATTAAAAAAATTTTTGAAAGTACAATTCTTTGACCTAAGAGAGCCGCAAAGGTTTCAAGAAGTGCTGCGAAGAAGGAACACTCGGGGGGAAAAGAAAATCCAAAATGAACGAGATTCATGCATCTACGAAATGTTCCCTGATAATGATGATGACGATGATGATGTTGGTGGTGAAGACGATGGTGATGATGATGATGGTAATAATAATAATAATAATAATAATAATAATAACTTTATTTTGTATTGCGCAAATTCTACATAAATACTCAAATGCGCATCACGAACAACTGATGAACTAAATCATTATAAATTCAAATACATACATAATTAGAAAAAGAAATGAATAAAATATACATACAAATAAGAAAAATATCAATGAAAATAATTCCTAAATACAAATGTCTTAAGCTTAGATTTAAAAGATGGAATAGAATTGGAACATCTAACTTCAAGAGGAAGATTGTTCCATAATTTAGGCGCGGCGCGCAAGAAAGCACGATCACCCAAAGTTTTCTTAGAATAAGATGGAGGGTAACTAAGGAGAATGCCATTGTCATTTCTCCCAAGAATATAAGTGAAAAAGTAGTGATAAAGATCAATGGCTTACCCATCATCGTCCTGGGTCGTGACCATGTGTGAGATGTAGTCTGGATGGCCGTGAAGTTGCTGATCAGCTGAAATAAAAAAAGAGTCAATAAATCAAAATACAAAAACAGAAGATGCCTCGTTTTTTAATAGATTCTTTCTTTGCCAATGTTGATGGTGCAGCGGATTGTCGAAGACATATCAAATTGAGCTGATCCTCGCAGYGTATGAAGCAACTTATGCAGCTGCAAATTGAAAGACTCAGAAAAAATTCTGAGTCTTGAACGGGATTTGAACCCATGCCCTGGCCATTCCGGTGCCATGCTCTAACCACTGAGCTACCAAGTCTCATATGAGACTTCAAGGACACATTACTTGGGTTTATCGGCCAGATAGGAAAGATATATATGCGTATGAGAAAATATATATGAAATATATATATGAAATATATATATGAAATATATATATGAAATATATATATGAAATATATATATTTGTACTGCAGTCGTAATGTATCAAATAGCGCAGCGCGCTGATTCTAAAAATAGCTTAAAGATTCGGACAAACATTGCATTCTTTTTAACCGCTATGAGGATTATACGAACCGATTTTATTATTTTTACTTAAAGTTACAATAATAACCCATGTAAACTAAGATCAACTGCGATCGGCTGTGAAAATTATTTGCTGAAAGTAAACTTGTAACTTTGTTTGTCCGAATTTCGCCTTTGTCTTCGTTTTTATGACGTCATGGCTGCGCTGCGCTATTGAGCTGATCCTCGCAGTATATGAACCAACTTATGCAGCTGCAAATTGAAATAATATAGTGGATGATGATGATGGTGATGACGATGGCGATGACGATGGTTATAATATTGATCAGGATAATGGATGGCGATGATGATCAATGAGTATTCTCAGATGAATGTAGTTACCTTGTTTAGTTAGTCTATTGATAATGTAGATAGTCGTGTCCATCGATCCAACCCAGATGTGGTCATTTCCCACAGGTACGAGACAACTCTAAACAAACATTGTAATCCATGATATAATTAGACAAAATGTTAATAAATGAATTTTCATAGATACCGCAATAGGCCTATCCCGAATTCGCTTGACTGATCACGAAACAATGGTTTGAAGTTGAGACTGAACTTGATTCTTTTATTCATTAAGTTCAACCTCGACTTGAAACCATTGTTTCGTGATCAGTCAAGCGAATTCGAGATAGGTCTATTGTGATGGCAGCCATGACAATGAGAAAAAAAAATCAGTTTCCCCAAAAAGACGCTATTGTTGTGCCTCCTGTCATGGCTGCTATCACGTGATGGTGTTTGACTTCATGGCTGCTATCACGTGATGATGTTTGACTTCATGTCTGCTATCACGTGATGGTGTTTGACTTCATGGCTGCTATCACGTGATGGTGTTTGGGTTCATGGCTGCATCGCACAGAATTGCCCATCAACTCTGGTTATTTCCAAATGAGGGAGATTATGTGAAGAATGGGGAAGCATTTTTTAAAGAAACACTGTAATATCTTCAAACTATTAAAAGCATTTGAAAAAAAGTTGGAAAAAACGATTAAAAATATTTCTAAAGCAAAATTCGCGGGCATATGCTCAAAATTAGGTACTAGTCTCCACTTAGACAGCTTCTCGAACCAGTAACAAAATATATGCTGAGTTCGTGAGCAAATATGTCCGTTTTAAAGCGAGATCTGGAGACGAAGTTATGGATATTCAGCAATATAGAGGCCAGGTTTCTATGACTATACAAATGGCGGTACCATTTATTTTGGTGATTCAATTTGCCAACATGCGATTTTTTGTGGGTCAATTTTCAGGTTTCGTAGTGTTTATATGTATGGAAATTTATCATTCCAGCACTTCGTTCGGGTCCTGCTGTTCGTCGTGAAGAAAATCACTCAAAGTAACAACTGAAATTGGTTCCCCAACCATCGCTTAATTGCTTCCAAAATTCCGCTCTCTTTGAAGCTGAAAGCAAGTAGCGATTTTTCAGGAGTTTTAACTTTGACACAACAAAGCAAAACAGTCCAAAATGACGACTTTCCCGTGCTTTTTTGATATAAGAAATCGTCCTTCTAGGATTATATTGTGTGGTTGTCATTCTTTAATATTCCTATGTTACTTTTCTTACATTAACTTTCGATTTTCCTCACGAAGCGCTTTTAAAAACTTTAAATATTATGACTTTGCCTTATAAATATAAATGGCCATGAGAGGAAAATTGATATTCAGAAACTGGAATCTAGTAATTTATTCTCTAATTTCCCGGATGTGTCACTCAATTCTGTGCGATGACTATCACGTGATGGTGTTTGAGTTCAGAAATAACCACGTGACATTCAATACAAATTACTGTAGCCATGGAAACAGAATCGTATCCAGGCCCCTGACTTACCACTCGGTCCTTTGCGTGCTGAAGCAACGATACGAAGCTCCATGTTTTTGTCTCAATCACGACCACAGCACCAGAACCCTGAAGATAAAGACATAGCATACAATTGAGCAAAAAAGAAACAGAAAAAAAAACATGCAGGCGATGGAGAGTGAGGATGAGGATGGTGTTGGGGAAGATTATGGTGAAGATTATAGTAATGACAGTGGTGATGATGATGGAGGTAATCGTAATGATGATGATATGATCGTGATGACGATGTTGATGTGGTGATGTTGAAGATGACGATGTTGATGTGGTGATGATGAAGATGACGATGTTGATGTGGTGATGATGAAGATGACGATGTTGATGTGGTGATGATGAAGATGACGATGTTGATGGTGATGATAGTGGTGATGATGAATGTAATGAGGGTGATTGTGATGGTGATGGTTACAGCAAAGTTAATGGGATGATATTGATAGTGGTAATGATATAAAGTGTAGTTAAATATAGCCTTGAAGTAAGTGAAATGCAACACTCACCAGACCGCACCAAACTTCACCACAACCACCGCCTACGAAAGAACAAAGACTGAACTTACAGATCATCAAAGTAGAACAGACACATTCAAATTTCGAATCAATAGACCCGTTTCGAATTCCAAATTACCGCTGTGTTTCTTGATTACAGACTCATTAGCACAGGGTTAGCCTCGAATTTGTGCAGAATATTCACGTGTTCCAGTCAAGGTCCGTCGAGTTTCAAAGTGTTTGTATTGTTGAAGTTGTGCATTCTTTACTTTTCTGTTGGTATTTGAGAATATTCAAACACTGATACGATGCTAACCCTGCGCAAATGAGTCTGTAATCAAGGAACACAGCGTTAATTTGGAATTCGAAACTGGTCTATTAAGCTTTAACCGATAAAAACACATTTTAAGCTGATCTGAAATAGTGACGTAGAAATGACGTCACTACAAAACTGAGGTATCATGAAGCCTGCAAAAATTGACTAGTGAAACTTGTCCGCCGTGGGAATAAAAATATAAAAGTCATGAACCATTGTGTCACTGTTATCAAGCAACGTTGTTTTTTTCATTTGGTGGCCTGGAAATCCATGGTCTGAAGAGGAAATGTCGGACACCCAAATTCTCTCGATTCTGATTGACTAATGGTTTTTTCTCAGATCAGCTGGTTGCTCGCACCTCAGTAAAAACGTCACTGAAAGACATTACAATGGACCTCTCTCAGACGATAGCCATGAAGATGGAAACATTACAATGGACCTCT